TCTGGATCTTGAGAAGAAGATTTTTGAAATTTTACCCTTTTTTGCCCCGCTCCTCAGGCCCCTGGGGGCTGGGGACCATATAATTCACAATTTTAGTTGTCCTTTGGCCATGGAAGGTTTCTGCAAAATTTCATTGAAATTGGTTCAGGGGTTTTGGAGAAGAAATCGAAAATGTAAATTGTTTACGGACGCACGACGGACGACGCCGGACAAAAGGCGATCGCAATAGGTCACTTGAGACTTTGTCTCAGGTGACCGAAAAATTATATTTTAAATGTTTTCTTTTGTGTGTGTTTATTATACAGACAGACGGACGTTCTATATATTATCTTCTTCACCAAATGTTCAAAGTCGATGACTTTTTAAGTCCACGATAGCTGTTAATTTGTTTGGGGTTTGACGTCATCTTTACAACATAGGTCATATGGAGACGCGTACCTAGGGAGACACATTTGAAAGAAAAAAGGGGTAAAGAAGTGAGAACAGAAATTATATATATTACTAGTGTTTATATGGGGGGCAGCAGATAATTCCGGTCTCTTCAAATTCCCCCAAGCATAAGACCGTAACATACAATGCGATACAACAGGTCGATAATTTCCCCGATTCTGCTGAGGTTTATCAACCTTTTGTGCAGAAGGGACCAGTTATGTTACTAATGAAAGTTCCTATCGCTGTGCGTGTCTCTGTGTCAATTAGGTCGGTCAAAATAAGCGGTGCATTTTTCCGTCACCTAGGATCGCAGGTGTTTTATACTATGTCGACAGTCCTCGAAAGGTCAACATCTTGGTGAACGCTAAAGCCCCATATTATATACATGCTTACTCTTTTTCAGTTACAACAAAAGTAATTTAGACATGGGGTATAGTTTTTATATCTTTTGAAGGTTAAACACATTTAAGCATGCTGATACTGCCGCTCTGAATGTTTGTTTCATGTTTAAAGATTTTATCCCAAGAGGGCCTGTTCGCTCACCTGAATATTTAAGCAGTCATAGCAAAATATTCTCATTTAATATCATATTGCACTAAAATTATTTCCCTCGCAAACTTTGTTGGCTCCATCAATGTCATTTTCCTTCTCAAATTGGTTAGCTTTATTCCAAAAAGCTACCAGCCAAATCTTATGAATCCATTTCTTTAAGTTCTTTGTTTGTTTGTTTGTTTGTTTGTTTGTTTGATTTTGTTTAACGTCCTATTAACAGCTAAGGTCATTTAAGGATGGCCTCCCCTGTGTGCAAGATGCATGCGTGTAGTGTATGTGTGTGTATTTTGGGAGGCTGCGATATGTTCGTGTTTGTCTCCTTGTGATAGCGCGGAACTGATGCCGACTTTATAGTGCTACCTCACTGAGACATACTGCCGAAGACACCCAGCAGGACGCCCCACCCGGTCACATTATACTGACAACGGGCGAACCAGTCGTCCCACTCCTAATTTGCTGAGCGTTAAGCAGGAGTAGAAACTACCATTTTTAAAGACTTTGGTATGTCTCGGCCAGGGGACAGAACCCAAAGCCTTCCTCACAGGGGCGAACGCTCAACAAATGGCCAAAAGTGAGGCATTGTCAAGGGAGACATTAGGAA